GGTCACGACACACAGACCCGGGGAGTCGGGTAGAAGCAAGCACTAGGCGAGGTGCTGCAGACTTGTTTAATGCAGGAGGAGGCACACCTTATATTTCCCTTTTCTCTGCCCCAAGTCCCTTTAGTCAGTGTATCGTTTTCTGATTGGTCCGGGCCATGCAGTCTGTCAGCAGTCACTGGACTCACGAGCAGGGTACAGAGGCGTGGGCTCCTTTTGGCGGCTATTTGCGGACCAAGAAGTGAACTGAACTCTCACTGAATCCCAGGGCTCTGGGTCCGCGCCATCTTTGGAGGCCTCCTGCTACATATTCAATTTCTTCTTATCAAGCTTTAAACACTAAACACTTAAAATCTTTAAACTCTCCTACTTTTTAATTTGAGACAGTCTTACTATCTAAGGCCAAAACAGTCTTGAACTAGCAAACTTGCCTCAGCCTTCAGAGCACTGGGATTACGAGCATACAGCACTGCTTTCTTTGTAGAATAAGAGGCATTATTAAGAAATATGCTCCATTGGTTTTTGAAGCCTGATGAATCCATAGTGTGTCTGGTCATCAGGCTAGTGAAAAGCTTTATGTTTCTAGTGAATTGTATGTCTAGACACATACCATTATGTTATCACAACAGAGAGAAGGAAGAATTTAAACTTGTTTTGTGCTTTGTTATAACAGAGTTGAGAGATTTGAGCATTGAGGGAGTGATAAAGGCAAGTGGCCCTGAGGCGTTCTTAGTGACAGAAGTCTTACCACCCGGCACCCTGTCCCCCCTGCCCCACCCCGGAATGTCTGCTGCAAGTGTCCTTAAGGATGTGAGCCTTGATACCTTACTCTTAAAGAAGTCCACTCAGTAAGATGTTCTTGCCTGTCTTTGTCATATGAAGAGAACTTTTTACGTGCATCAGTGAGTAACTCTGCCTCAATATTCCAAGACGCAGAGTGACAAATAACAGCCACTCATCTATGTGGCAGAGCCAAATGTTCTGGGGATAATTCTCTGTCTTATACTAAGCAAAAGCATTCTGCGCACGCTAAGAAAACGATGACTGAAATAAATAAATAAAAGGGGACAGGTGAACAGAGTAGCAGTGGCTCCCACCCAATTTGCTGGATACTTAATTATTTGCTATTATCTCATCTTGCGTAGTCCTTGATTTCTCTTTGTTAGGCCTCAAGCCACATTCTTAATTTGTCTTCTTCCTTCGTGCTCTGAGTAGTTTTTTAATACTTTTCCTCTTAAGCTAGCTATTTGTCCTGAAATACTGAGGCTAAAGTGCTCTGTCTGCACAAAAAGCCCTTTTAGCAAGCCCAATATGCATAGCTAAGTTGTGCTTGCAAAACTGTTCTTAAAGTGCAGTCAATTGACCGTATACCAGCACTAATTTGCTCCTGACCAGTAAAGCCTGTGCACACACTGCCCCACAAGATGATGGCAGCAGTCACAGGGGCCGGCTGCTTATGTTATGCTCAGGTAAGGGAGATTAAGCGCAGCAGCCAAATTTGGTTTAGAACAACACACCACTTCTGGACTGCCTTCCTACGAAGCTGGTTTTCTATTTCCCCAGGATTAAGTTTTCTACTTCTCTCATGAAGCCAAGTTACTGCCACAGAAATGCTGGGAAAATTGCACAGAATTGGTCTGCTGTAAAACAGCTTCTTTTTAAAAATATTTTATTTATTATTTTTATTTTATGTGTATGAATGTAGTGCTTGCATGTAGGTAGGTGCACCAATGCCCATGGAGGTCAGAAGAGGGTGTCAGATCCCCTGGAACTGGAGTTAGGACTTTTGTTAGCCGCCATGTGGGTCCTGGGAATTGAACCCAGTCATCTGCAAGAGCAGCCAGTGCTATTGACCACTGAGCTATCTCTCCAGCCCAGGCATCTTCTAATATCATTATGTTAACACCCTAATGAAATGATAATGTGCATTTCCTTATGATACAAAAAAAAACAGAGTACATTCTATTAGAATTCAGATTTTTGGCACTTATAGGTGCTTAAAAATTCTGTCTTAAAATAATAATGCTGGGGACAGGAGGCAACTTTGTAAGGTTTTGTATTCTTTCCAACACAGTGTGGGAACTCAACCTGAACCACTTACACTACTCACTTCTTTTTGGTGGTACTGTTTGTGGCTTTGTTTGTTTTGATTTTTAAATTTTTGTTCTTTGTTCTTGAGACAGGGTCTCCCTGTAGCCCCCCACTGGCCAGGAACTCACCATGTGAACCACAGAAAGATCTGCCTCTGCCTCCTGACTGCTGGGATTAAAGGAGTGTGCCATCACGCCTGGCCTTTCTTATATCTTAATGAAGTAGTGGCATGGATAAATACACATGTATGGGATCTAGTGCAGAGGACTTGGTGATGATTAAGAAGTTCTGGTGACTGTGATTGCATTTGAGCATTGAGTACAGATACCATGTTATGTTCCGGAAACTTTGTAATTAAGTCCTGCAATAAGAGGACTTCCTAAATGAGATAAGAGTGCTTCAAAGTGGCCAATGGTCATGCACCCGAGCACGTTCCAGTGAAGTGACACATTTCAAAGAAAGATTATTGTGTCAGCTACCATACTACTGATTTCATTAAATTTCTACCTAAATTCATCAGGAAAACAAAAATTTTTTAAATATCCTTTCTCTCATTTGACCTTTATAATACAAAACTTTGATTATATACTTAGAAAAGAGAAATGGACAAGAAATATGACAGGGGTGATATTATCTTCAGAAATAAATTTTGTCAATAGTGTTCTCTTCAAATACTCTAATTCACTGTCTTAAAAGTTTACATTTAAGATTTCAAAAATAAGTAGGCCCGTAATTGCAGCTATTCAGTAGGCTGAGACCAGATAATTGCAGTTTCAAGGCCAGCCTAGGATTCACAGTGAATTCTGGGTCAGCCTAAGAAACTTGGTGAGACCCTCTTTTCCAAATGAAAAGTAAAAAGCAGGCTAGGACTGTTGATTAGTGGTAGACATGGGCCCTATGTTCAGCCTTCAGGACTAAAAATAATCTCCATAAGTTATCATTTGTCATTCTATTTCAAAGAAAAAAGGAAAAAAAAAATGTAAGCTGCCAAAATAATATATGGATTTCCTGATGTTTTCTATACAAATATGTTCATTATCTGTTTTAAAGAGAAAGAGGAAAAAATGATGGTATCAAATTCAGCATGTAGGAAAGCCTGCATGAAGCAGCCAGGCCTGTGGTGTGTGGTTAGGTTTGGGAACCGAAGCCCTGTTGTATGCCTGGCAGAATTTGGGACTTAGGCAAGTGTTTGCCCTGTCACTCAGTTTCTTCAGCTGTGAAGGGAAGAAGGGCAACCACCCACCTTGTGAGAGTGTGCTGTGGACGTGATGATTTCATATAAGTCAAGGGCTTAGGCTCATGCCTACTGAATTTAAGTTTTACACATTATTTTTAAAATTCGGGGACACCAAGGGCAATAGGCCAAGTTCTCATCTTTTAATTTTCATCTTCAGTGAGGAGTGACAGACAATTTTAATATGTTGTCCTTGGAGAGCCTTTTTAGTGTTTAAAATGAAAGGAAAAAGGCATTCAGGTAATGAAACTAGTTCTTGAATTGATAATTTCTTGACAAAATATTGTTTATTTTAGTCTAGTGAAAGGCAAACCTCTTCTTTTTAATGTAGAAGGCTTCCTTTCTGGGCATTTGCGGGCATTCAGTGCCACTGCATCTTAGGAACAGAGCATCTGTGTTTTCACCTTTAATGCACAGCTACTATTGCCATGAAAATAATATTGATAGCTCTTATGTTTCCACTTTTATTTTTTTTATTTCTGAACCTACTAACCACATCAAGTGATAGCTTTTAAAAAAAAGAGTAAGCGAATATCGATGTAAGAGATACTCAGCTTTTCTTCTGTATTAGTTTACTGTTTATTTTCAGATATTTGTCTTAATATTATTAATTGCACCACTATGGTACCATTACTTTAAAAATGAAGCTAATCAAGTTCTTAATTAGAATACTTGGGCTGCTCTGAAATGCTCATAGATCCATTTAGTAGTAAAATAAGATTTCAAAATGCTTATATTTGAAAATAATCAGAAATAAACAAGTATAAAATACTTTAGGAAATGAAGAATAACTTTTTGAGCTGCATAAATGATCTCTGCAATTCAGATTAAAATAGTGCAGTTTATCCTTTGTTTGAGACAGTAAGTCTTGCTTTACTGTCTGGTGAGCTGTATATCAGGTTATACCTTCAATATCATGCAAATGTTTGTCTAGTCTTTCAAGAACATTTCCACTTTTACTTAATCTGTGTCACACAAAAGAACAGTGTTGAAATGGCATAATATTTTTAGAGTTCATATGACATCTGAAAAGGTGTAAAGGATAAATGAATGTAGTAAGGCTTTTGACTAACATAGTAAATGCCTGTGGAAAAATGGTTTTTAAAACTGTATTTATTTTTAATGCCTCCATCCAAAATAAAAGCTGTATATATTAGTGTGATTCTAAGAGGCTTCTATACATGTATTGTGCAATGTTTCAATCAGGTCAATGATCTGTCTCCTCAAACATTTATTATTTAACTTTATTGAAGTTAAAAAAAAAAAACAACTCTACCTCATCAAAAAGAAACAAGGTTATTCATGCCTGATTCCATTAGAATATATCTTCAGAAAAGTGGAACAATTGTTTGACCTTAGAACTTCTCTAATTCTGGTTTCTCGGTTTCTAGAAATAATCTGGGGATCTATGGTACTTCTTTAGAGCAGAGCAAACTGACACTGACAGTGACACATGCTTCTGATTTGTGAGTTAAATGCCAATCTCAATTTCACTTTTAACTTTAACAGCAGCCTCAAGTGTTACTTGAATAGAACTAAAGCATGTGACTTCCCACTTGAAAGGATAACTGTACTTCCCTTGAAATTCTGAGGTTCAGTGAGGTGTCACCTGGAGCTTTTACGGACTCTTTGAGCATAAACTTAAGATATCAAGTGTTCATTTTAATTTATCTTTCAGATCAGCATTTTCATGACCCATTTGTCTAACTATGGAAATGACCGCCTGGGATTATACACCTTTGTGAACTTGGCCAAATTCGTACACAGCTGGACCAACCTGAAATTGCAAACTCTTCCTCCAGTGCAACTGGCTCGCAAGTACTTTGAGCTCTTCCCAGAGCAGAAAGACCCTCTCTGGCAGGTAACATTTGTCCCTTCTCCCCTGGGGGAGAAAAGATACTAGATGTGTGTCTCATTTGTATTAGGAACTCTGCTAGATGTCTTAAAACAGATGACATCTGACATAAATTACTGACTCTGTCTTATTCTCTTCAATAAGAGTTTTGAATCTTTATGGTTGAAATGTTTAGGCTTGTAGTTTGTTACTGTTTGTTTACTTGTTCAATTTGTTTGGAAAGTTTACCATAAGATTGTGGTTTCATTGTTGAAGCATTCTCCAAACAAATACTTTTTAATTATCTGTGGTGTGTGGTGAGCACTATCAGTAGAAAGGTCAGCACTGAACAGCACAGGAGATTGAAAAGAAAAGAAGAGAAAAAAAATCTACTGTAATCTAAGACCCTGTAACCAAACCCTAGTACCCATACGGCCATGGCGGCGGAGTACCTCAAAAGGAACACAGCCACAATCTAGCATCCGCAAGGATTTAGTATCTCTTTGGTGTATCCCTTCTTTTCTTTAAAACTAATTTCACTAACGGAGTAGATTTGCTGATAAAGGAGAGATGTGTCTGTTTTAGGATGGCTTTTACTATTAATCTGAACTCTGTGGGGCCACGCAGCTTGAAAGCATCAAATATAAACTATCTCTTCGTGGCAGTTATCTAGGAAATGCTACCTCCCACTCACTTGATTCTTTATGCATCAGACTGCATCGACCCACACAATCAATGAGCTGGCTGCGGTGAGCAGATCAGATGTTCCCCTGCTAAGCAGTAGGTAGAGAAGCAGCAGCAGCATTAATGAGAAATTATTGAAAAACAGCCTTTCCAGAACATCCTCTATTCCTCTATTTGAGACTATCTGCTTCCCTATGTTACGTAAAACATTCCATGTGATGACTCAACATATGTTCATTCAACATCTGCTATGCACAAAACAATGAGAGTTCTAGAACACGCAAAAAGAGTAACCTGATACATTTCCTCCTCAGTCAAGTACCGGGCTTTTATTATGTTTTAAAATGAGCCATTGCATTGTCACGTCCTTTACTGATGATTTCTCTGCAGCTCTTTACCACAAGTGCTTGCATTGGGCCACCCATTCTAATCACTTCTCTCTCATAAAGAGTGCCTGAAGGCCAGCGATGTGGCTCTGTGGGTAAAGTCAATTGACCAAGACTGATGATCTGAATTTGATTCCCAGAACCCACTGGTGGAGGAAGATAACTGACTCCACAAGTGGTCCTGTACCTCTCCTTGTTCACTGTGAAATTCAAACACACACGCACACACACACACACGCACGCACACACACACGCACACACACGCACGCACACACACACGCACACACACACGCAACGCACACACACACTAAATAGGTATATCAATGTAATAAAAAGGTCTTTGATAGATACGTACATAGAAACAAAATTATTCTGAATATATATAGACATGCCAAACAGATTTGGATTTTAAAATCTTCTTTTTGTTTGTTTGTTTGTTTGTTTGTTTGTTTTTTAATGTAGTGGAATATAGATGAAGCATTTCATTACAACAGCATTATCCTATTCAATAACATTTTTCTGAGCTAGGGTAAACATCTTCTTTTTTAAAAAAATATTATTATTATTATTTTTTTAGGTGTATGGCCTCCATGTGTATAACTGCTCCTGGAGGTCAGAAGAGGGCAGTGGATCTCCTTGAACTGGCATTACAGACAGTTGTTAGGTGCCATGTGGGTGCTGGGAATTGAACCCTGGTCCTCTGCAAAAGCAGTCGGTGCTCTCAACTTCTGAGCCATCCCTCCAGTCCCTTAAATATTTTCTTCCATTTATTTAATTGTTTGTTGAATGTAACAAGCTGTGTAGAAGTAGGTTCTCTCTTTTTACCTTGTAGGTCACCAGGATCAAACTCAGGTAGTCAGGCTTGGTGGAAGGTGTCTTTACCCAATGACCCATCTCACCAGCCCTAGACTGTGTTCCATAGAGATGTTTATTCAGTGGCTTACACATATTTGTAAAACTGAGGCAGGTGGATCTCTGTGAGTTCACGGCCAGCCTGGTCTACATAGTGAGTTCCAGAACAGCTGGGGCTACAGGGAGACCCTGTCTCAAAAAGACCAAAAAAAAAAAAAAAAAAAAAAAAAAGAAAACTGATAAATGAATGACAAGAAATCAATCATTTTCTCACACAAATCTCTATGTGATCAATCTATCTATCTATGAAATTTATGAAACATTAATAACAAAATCCAAATTAATGAATGTTTTAGACAAGTTGTTGACATATAAAATATTAGTTCACAGATTGAAGCTCTATTCTGTCTTTTCCTTTAGGGAAAAAAAATTTTCCCTAAACATTGAGCTATATTTTTTTATATTGTTTCAACTTGCAAAGACGTAGCAAAAAAAGTGTTTCAATAGTGTGGGGGCATCATTGACATTGTTATATTCATTTAAAAATTATTGATTGCTTATCGTGTGTGTAAGTGTGTGAATGAGGCAGGTTTGTGGGTTCTGGATTACCACAGTGTGATGTGCAGAGGTCAGAGGACAACACTGCGTAGTCAGTTCTCTCCTTCTACCTTTTTACATGGGTTCTGAGGATTGAACTTGTGTTTCCAGTTTGCAGTGGCAAGCACCTTTGTCAGCTGAGCTTTTGCACTGGTCCAATGTTATTTTCTTAAAAGAATACATAGAATCAAACATACTGCTGTAATATCCCTGATCAACATAATGATTCCAAATATTAATTGAATGCTTGTTAAATTACAATTATGAAATACAGTGGTGACTTATTGGGTATGCAAATTAAATTTGGAAATTAAAATATGACTGTTTTTAGATAACCATGTCATTTTGAAATTTTAGAAATGTTAGATGAATAGAACAATTGTAGAGCCCACAGTTTCCACTTTGATAGCATCATGGGACAAATTGCTATAATTATTTATCATACTGTAAGAATAAAATAAATAATATAATTAATAAAAACTGAATTAGTAGTTGA